TGTTAGAGGAAGTAGTCTACACTAAAATGAACTCAGAGCAAGATCTTGGCCAAAGGCCACATAGGCGGTCACCAAGGTCGCCATCTGCTGGGGGGGCAGTGTGTGTTTTTTTTCTGTTAGAAAAATATAATTACAATGGGGACGGCAGGGGGCTCAGAACCACAGTCTTGCCTAAGGCGCAAAAACGTCTGAGTCCCACTCTGAGTGAACACGTTTTTAGTGCCATACTTTAAGTGATAGAAAATCAATTGGCGAGTCAAGCAGCAGTTCTTTGGGATAAACTGTGACGTCTTGTCAAACACAAGTCACAGTGTGAAGGTACAGGATTACCTCCTCATTACAGTTCCATCAAAATATGGACATGCCTTAATGCTGATTGCTCTTCATAGAATGAGAGCGGTTGGACACCAGCTCCACTGTGGAGGCAGCACTCTGTCACTTCATCAGCCTGACTGAGGCCAGGGCCGCGGCTGCGATAGCTCAGTTTGTGCCACTTTTTGTTTTGCCATTTTGTTTCCTCTTTCCTCTACATGGGTGTGTATGTATGTATCTATATATACATATATATGTGAATGTCTATATATTTATATATATTTTCATATATATGTATATGTCCATATACTGTATATTTATATATGTAAATATATATAATATATATATTTAAAAAAATGTACATTACAATTCTACACTACTAGTGAGATATACATTTTCGTTCGTATGTATTATATTTACTGAAAAAATAACAACCTCAGGTAATACTTTTATATATTTTTGCTTATGATTAATATTAGATGTGTTTCTGAAAAGTTTAGTCGATTAACGGTGAATCCAACTTGTTTGATTTTGACCTTGCAATAGTGACTTTTGGGGCCACACATTGTGGAGCTCATGAATTTCAGATTTACACTAATCCACCCAAAAGATGCTTTGAAAGTTGAGTTGAAAACTGCAGGATTAAGTTGTGACTGGAGTATGAGCTTGTCAGATTAGTTGTTCTCACTCAAACTGCTGTCGCCAAAACTGTGCTCTGCACTTGAGATTAAAAGTATTTTAGGATGACACATTTACAGGCACATTGTTAGGTCAAAATGTGCGCAGCAAAATTTGCACCGTGCCAAGGACCAACAGAAACACACAGTCAGCTGTGTCACCTCTCCGCCCAAATCTCAGCTTGGCACAAGCAGAGAACTCTAGGCCAAAGATCAATGAGAGACTCTGTAGCTGCCTCATTAGATGTGAGCTGTTACGTCCTGTGTGAGGAGAGAAGCTGAGCTGTCGGCTGATCACCACCTGGTCGTGTCATGATCGGAAGGCCAGTGCCACAGGTCGTACTGTATTTGGTGTGTAATGTGGGTTGGGGGATGTCCTGAGACAAACGTCTGTCAAAGTGGAAACAAAAACAACAGAAACAACAATTGACAGAAAGTCACTCAAACGGGATAAAGTAAGCAAAATTGACTTTTTCAGGATTTGTTTTTGGAATCTTCAAAAATCTGAAAATATATATGGAAATATATCTGGAAATATATCTAGAAAATATATGGAAATATATCTGTCAATATATCTGTAAATATATGGAAATATATCTGGAAAGTATATGGAAATATATATGGAAATATATAGTAAAGAATCCAGCTCTGCTGGGTCCTTCAACAAAAAACAACTTATGTTTAACATAAATAAAAAATAGCATAAAACAGAAAAGTAGCATCAAATACCTTGATCAGATGATTTTCTGCAGAAATAGCAGAGCAGAGAGAAACTTAAGAGGGAACGTTTGCGGGAAAAAAAAGCTGATTCAGCCAGAGATTAAATATAAATGTATATTTTATTTATTAATAATGTAGCCTTTAAAATGTCTTTCATTATTTTTTTACTAAAGTCCCGTGTTTCAGCCGCTGTGCTAATTTCCAAGTACTGACAAATGGATTTGTTGTTGATGTTTTTTTGTTGTTGTTGTTTTTTGCACATAAAAAACCTGTCAATACTGTGATCACAAAGTTAGCGAAACCAACAAAAACCACTCTACCATATCACAATGGAATACTGCAGTGTCCTTGAAATTGAATTCCTGGACTCAACACAAATACTGGCTGTATTGAGACTCAATGAAGATGCATTATAAGCTTGTTTATTTTCAGGGGGGATGTTTCGTCTGCTGCGTCGAGGCTGTAAAGGAGATCAATGTTGTGATTGTGAGGATTTTAATTTTCTCCGCTCACAATCTCCCAGGCTGTTTGGCTTCAGTCGGGAAGTGCACACCAGCACAAAGAGCCTAATGTCGAGTGCAATCGCATTCCGTTTTGTGTGGCAAATTACTCTTAATCCCTTCGTGTGTCGGAGTAGCGAGTTCACGAGATGCTCTAATGTGATGCACGCGTTCGCGGGGAGTTCTAGTTCTAGTTGACTCTTACACTCTGCAGTCGCAGTCAAACAAGTCGGTAAGACAGTCCCATTAATCCGACAACCTCACACTCACCTCCTCCGATCGTTGATGCTGCAGCTACATCTACTGACTTTGCTGCTCTGCTATAGTGTGTACACTGATCTTATTTGTCCTCCTCCTCCTCCACGCTCTCATTACCATACCTCAGAAGGCATCGGTGCCTTGTGCATTATGTATATTCCACATCTCTGTGATATGTACCCTCTGAGTTTCTTTTGTACATTTCTTTTAGTTTGAAATTTGCTCCCTGAGAATTGCATACACCGCCTGGATTCATTAAGGGAGCGTCACTAAGTAAACAGGGCTGGATTCATTAAGGGAGCGTCACTAAGTTAACAGGGCAACATGAAACTAACGTCAAAGAGGGATCCATCCATCTATCCATCATCCATCCATCCATCCATCCATCCATCCATCCATCCATCCATCCATCTGTCCTTCCATCCATCAATCTATCCATGGATCCAACCACCATCTATCCATCCGTTCGTCCTCCAATCCATCCATCCATCCATCCATCCATCTGTCCATCCATGCTTCCATCCATCCATCCATCCAATCATGCATCCAACCACCATCTATCCAACCGTTTGTCCTCCAATTCATCCATCCTTCCATCCATCCATCCATCCATCCATCCTTCCATCCATCAATCTATCCGTCATCCATCCATCCATCCAGCCATCCATGGATCCAACCACCATCTATCCATCCGTTCATCCTCCAATTCATCCATCCATCCATCCATCCATCCATCCATCCATCCATCCATCCATCCATCCATCCATCCATCCATCCATCCATCCATCCATCCATCCATCCATCCATCCATCCATCCATCCATCCATCCATATCTATCTATCTATCTATCTATCTATCTATCTATCTATCCATCTATCCATCCATCCATCCATCCATCCATCTATGCCTGTATATAGTCTGTGTTTTAGCCTGTACCTGTACATGTGTCAAATGTTTAAAAACGTAAAATATTACTTTGATCACAAGCACCAGCCATTTTTTAAAAAAAACCCAAATAACAGGAAGTTTGGAGCTGAGATCTGCTCACGGTGCCCTATCTGTCAATCTGCCACATCTGCTGCACCAACTGATGGGTTAATGAGGGGCACACGTGTCCTGTCCTATTTCCTGCAATCAGCACACTCAGGCTTTTTGACAGGAGGCAATTATGGACGAAAAATACTGAGGTGGCTGAAAAATTGCTTAGACACACACACTGATATATCTATTTCCAGGGTCAAAACTGCGTTAGGAACAGGATTGGTGCGACTGATTGGCGTACACTTTGGAATAAAGCTTGACGTCTACCGACTCGGGAGCATTTAACACCTCAAGCTCTGTCCCTTTTAGGAACGCGCTAACTATTTTGGCTCGCGGATATCTTGAGATCATTAGCGGTGTTTTATATTTTTAAAGTTAACAGTCCTCACTGTTAAACCTGCCATATATATATATTTTTTGATTTAGGTTTTTATTAACTTATTTTATTTAACAGACTTTTGCGCACAAATCCTAGTAAAACACTGACAGCCTTACGTTACGTGATTTTTATGCAGGCTATTGTGGCACCCTAATGGAATGTGACTGCGATTTGCTGTCAGACGTCGCTCCTCGCTAAAGGTCGGGGGTCATTAAAACGTTCTGTCTGCACATCTCCATCCTGCCGAGTGATTGAGTGATAAGGCAGTCAGAGATGATGCAGGCTGGTCATATATCAAGCAAATACTCCATACAACAATGTGTACGCCCTAAATCCCCAAGGTGATATTGACTGGGCCGTAATAGAATCAGGTACGAGAAAAAATGTCTGCAGTCAGCAAAATAACATCAGACTTTAATCAATCTGCCACATGTCAGGGCTGTAGCTTTAATCTTCTCTTTCTTTTTTGACAGCAAATACTATTAACTGGTGTCGTCCCAGAACCATTTGTCACAAACCGATACACGAACCAGTATTTTCATTTGTGTACTCGCTGATAACGAGGGCAGATACGAATACTTCTTCAGGGCTGGTTTTCAAATAAGTCTGCAGTGAGTTGAGCGCTGTGTTACTGGTGGAACAGTTGTCTGGGTAATGAGGTGGCAGTGTCAGTGTGTGTTCGTAGTCGACACAAACCACAGTGAGGAAATCACAGCAGTGGTTCCTCGACCTTTTTTGGCTTGCGACCCTTATTTTGACATTTTTTTGCAACTACAAAGACTTTGATGACTGGCTCATCATCTATCCACATTAGCAGGTTCAGTGCTAATGTATCTTCAAATGTTTCATAAAATCACTGGTATTCTTAAAAATACAAATTTTACAAAAAATAAATACTGGAAACTGTTAATGTTGTTAAACCAACTTAAATAAACTACAGTAGGAAAATGTACCTACTGTACTGACTGTACAGTGGTTATGGTTAAAGGCCATTATACAGTATATTATGAATTAATATTGGTATTGATATCGGCCGATGCAGATACTGATATTGGTTCAGTTTTTTACAAACTGAAATATTTTTCATCTGGTAATTTTTTTTTTTTGCTTTAGAAAGCTGCTTTTCATATCAACTCTCTTCCCACTGGAGGGTTTCCTAAACGAAGAGCCGGGATTCATTTAAATGAAGGACCACAGGAACACATTTAAAAGAACACACAGACTAATTTACAGACGCTCCCTTTCTGACAAATGGCTGATGTAAGCCCCTAAAGTGCCTCTTAATCTGGCCTCCCATGTTCTGCAATCTGTCATGATTGACAGCGTGTGTTCACCGGTAACAACACAAACATTCAATCTGGCTGTCAAGACCCCTGAAGGCATTTTTTTTCCACCTGGACGAGGGGGCTGGGCCAGTAAAGCCTGTGATTACAGGTACATCACTGGTTAAAGTTCAGCCTGGCAGAATGCTGCTCTCCGGTGATTCACACACATTAGCATCCCGGACGCTCAGGGTGATTTGCATGCATTGTCAGCCCTTTTAAGACATCACACTAAGCACTTGAGCGAGTTTGCAGCTATCGGGTCCAAGGGGCCTCAAACCTGCCTGCTGTCAAAGATTTGTCCAGTCACGTCCTTAATCACGGCGTTAGAGGCGAGGAGGTTAGCGTTAATGTGAGGAGAATGGCTAACAGAGGTGATTAATGATTTTTATCTCATTTGAAGGTTCCAGGCTGATAAATTAGATGCTCCAGATTCTAAGGCTGTTTTTTTTTTCTTTTTTTCTGATGAACTGATTATTCCGTTCCTGTGGTATTAGTATTTAACTCTGGCTAATGGTAATGATGATGATGGTGATGAGACATATCTGCGCATTTTATTTTTATTTTGCCTACAATAAACCACTTCTTATATCAAACAGAGATAAGGAGTCGTGATCAGCCCAGTAATTTCTTACAAAATTATAACAAAAAGTTGTATTTGAATAACTGGTAAACACTCTTGTTACTGCCAATTGAGCAGTTACTATTTTAATCTGATTAAGTAAAGGTTAGCTGTGGATTAATCGTGATTAATCACGATTAATCAAGATGAAGTAACATTACTAAATGTAACAAAAATAGATAATTCTATATTGTTCTAAAAAAAGGGGGGCAAATAAGAGCTAGAAGTGTTCTTCAGGGGGGCAAATAAGAGCTAGAAGTGTTTTGAAAAAGGTCAAGAAAAACATGGAAATGTAACTTGAACTTTGCTTTCATCACACTAAGCACTTGAGCGAGTTTGCAGCTATCGGGTCCAAGGGGCCTCAAACCTGCCTGCTGTCAAAGATTTGTCCAGTCACGTCCTTAATCACGGCGTTAGAGGCGAGGAGGTTAGCGTTAATGTGAGGAGAATGGCTAACAGAGGTGATTAATGATTTTTATCTCATTTGAAGATTCCAGGCTGATAAATTAGATGCTCCAGATTCTAAGGCTGTTTTTTTTTTCTTTTTTTCTGATGAACTGATTATTCCGTTCCTGTGGTATTAGTATTTAACTCTGGCTAATGGTAATGATGATGATGGTGATGAGACATATCTGCGCATTTTATTTTTATTTTGCCTACAATAAACCACTTCTTATATCAAACAGAGATAAGGAGTCGTGATCAGCCCAGTAATTTCTTACAAAATTATAACAAAAAGTTGTATTTGAATAACTGGTAAACACTCTTGTTACTGCCAATTGAGCAGTTACTATTTTAATCTGATTAAGTAAAGGTTAGCTGTGGATTAATCGTGATTAATCGTGATTGATCAAGATGAAGTAACATTACTAAATGTCACAAAAATAGATAATTCTATATTGTTCTAAAAAAAGGGGGGCAAATAAGAGCTAGAAGTGTTCTTCGTAGAGTTAATGGATTTTTATTAAAAGGCTGGTGGTGTCCAGCAACACACAATGGTTATTTTCAGTAATACAATATTCCATTCTTGAACAAAAAGCAATATTGAAAAACAGGTGTTACTGGCAAACAAGTAATTTATTTATTATTTTTAATGTATTTTAACATTGTGCAGATTGTGTGAATGTAAGTTTTAAACAAATAAATAAAAACTAAATTGAATTAAACTGAATTATTAAAATTGTGACCCTCTTTGCAAATTGCGGCAGAATTAAATAAAAATAAATGAATTCCTCTGTGTATCGTTTGAAGTAATTTGTAAAATACTGTATATTCAGTATTTTTTCAGTACTAGCTGATGAGCAGTTCTATTATCAATTACAAACTCTTTTTGACCTTTCACCTCATCTTGAAGCTAAAACAACCCCAGTCTCCTGTGTAATTTACCAAAACATTCTGATCCAAACTAAGGTCAAATGTCTAGAGGCCAGGAGGCATTTAATCATCAGTTTTTCCATCAGCCATTTTCATGTTTGCTGCCCTTTTGCTCCTGTTGACATTGTGTGTTGTTGTTTTATTTTTGTTTTTTTCAAGAGACTTTCAAGTCCCTTGTTTGTGAGACTCAAGAGCTCACTCTGTGCTGCCATCCAGAACTGAATCCAATAAAAATAAATAGTCCAGTGAAACTCATGGCAGCATGTGCAGCAAGGTGTCTCTGTTCCGCCCTCCTACGGCTCAACGCTTTTATTGAAGCACGCATTGTCTCTCAGGAAAATATTCTCAAAAACTGGAGCTTTCAACAACCAAGCCCGTGTCAAGGCAAACATTTTCACAGCCACTACCTGCTCAAGCAAAAAAGTTTTCAGACCGTTAGACTTTTTTTTTTTTTTCAAAATTCCTAAATATCAGAACAAGCCAAAACGGCATGTAATCCTAATATCAGACTACACTGATGCTGAGCCCAGTTTATTCAACTCATGCCAAGTCTATTTCCTGCTGTAATGTAATGAGATTTTTTCCTGGATATTGGGCTTAGTAGGAGTATTCTCTTCCACTCTGCAGGATGTTTCTGCACTAAACAAGTAGCACAATAAACTGCATTCTTCCTCTGCTCAGATAATGCACCCAGCGTGGCTGCTGGTGGGAGAGCCGCGTCTCGCTGCGCTTCTGAGTAGGCTGTGCCTTGTACTCTCTGTATGACATACGCGTCACTATTTTATTAAAATCCCTCACTAGGAAATCCACGGTTCTTTTTTTATCATCTATTTATTGAAATATTGAAAAATAATTTATTTACAACACCTGCACATTCCTAGAATAAACAATATTTATTCTTTATTTTCTTTCGAAAATATCTGCTTAAATCTGAAAACTACGGCTCGTGGACCAGATATGGCCCGCTATGCCTTCTAAATCGGCACACCAAACATTAGTACAAAATATGGTGAAGGCTGTTTCGTGCATTACAACAAAACCATCGTAATTTTTATTGATGCCACTAGATGGCAGCAGACATTTTGAAAGGTTAGGCTAATTCTTGTACATTTTATTTACAATTTTTCACCCAGCATTCTACACGCAACCAACACTGAACCGGCCTGCCAGCCAAAATTCTGACCTCATTTTAGTTCGTGAGCCAAACCCCTGGGTTTAACTGAAATCCAAGCATATCAGTGTGAAAAATAGGCATTTTCTGCATAGCCTTAACTTCGTCCCTGCTTATCACCTGCCCCTGTGTAAATACGTCACTCCTCGATGGTTTTTCCAGTGGAAAACACATTACCAATTGTTTTAACTCAGGGGTTTATGTTTTATTCATATTTTCTTCCGTGTCCTCTTACATTGTTGTTCTCATCTTGTTTGCTCCACTGAGTATGAATATGTGCAGTAGAGCCAAATTAGGTAAGCCACTTCCAATCCATCTGGACACTGGCTTAATCAAAGTCCCTGTCAGGGAGAATGAAATCTCCTCAGACAAAATGAACATGTCAGTGTTAGATGAAGGGACAACTTCTCTTTTGTACGCTGGGTCAGAGAGTGATGGTCTCCACATCAGCGGCTCGCCGAGAGTGAAGTTCAGGACCGGGCTGAGAGCAATCATTTCTTTGTTACATTTAAAGTGCACTGAGGCTTGTTTATGTGAAAAGAAAAAGAAAAAAAAACAGGGCTGTGAAAAGATAAAAATTGACATAATGTCAATAAAAAATAAACAAAGAACTTAATTAATCTTGATTACTTTGGGTTAATAGAGATGAATTAATGTTTTCTGTATATTGATAGAACAGAAGGACAAACAACAGCAGGTAGATGTGTGTGTTTCTCACACGCATTTTTATTTGTAACTAATTGAAATGATGGAATTACAAAATCGTTTAGACTTTATTCCGTCAGTATCAGAGTCTGAATGACCTGTTGTTTTAATGTGACTGGATTCTTTTTGAATGAAGTAAATTAGTAAAACTGAAGTACATTATATTACTGTGTCCCACTGCGGCCCTGGTACAAAATTAATATGGACCAGCACCGGTCCCTGGACCGGGGATTGGAGGCCCCCGTCTTAAACAATATCAATCAGTCTACAGTACCTCACAATTGTATTAGTCAGCTTGTCATTCATAGTAGTAGTAGTCCGAAGTACTCACTACCATGCTGGTAGCTCCAGGTGGTTCATGAACCAAAACCTCTTTCCCACAGTGTGTATAAATAACGTGTGAATAAACGGTGTATTTAAGCAACGATAAGTGGATGGACAGTGGAATCATTGGCTAAACATGTGTCATTCCCCCATGTGTTAATGCATTAACATTTTTAAATGAATTAACATGATTAAGTTTGACAGCCCCAGTGAAACCCCATCAAAAAACATTGACTCAAAGCAGCACAGTTCTTTGGAGTTGAACAGACCTCGTTCCTTTTTAGGAAGTTTTGTGATGTACTCCTGCATTGATGTAGGGGACTGATGTGGAGAGAGAGAGAAAAAAAATCTTACTTCACGGTTGCATCATTTTTAGACAGTCCTGCTCTCAGCCCTGTGGGTAGAGAGCTTTTCTTTCAGCGCTTCAGTCACAGAATTCCGGCCAGTGCAGGTCAGGGTTTCTCTAAGACGCTGCAGAGATTGCTTTGATATAATGATGTGTACTCTGTCTTCCACATCACTACGTTCACCGCAGCGTGATTCTGCCTCTCGGTCACTGGACGTTTGTCTTTCACTGGCATTTTAAGCACAAAGTGAATAAGAGTTTAGATTGAAGTTTTGCTGATGTGCATTACACTCAGTGTCAGCGCTGCTCAGGGCCTAATCCTGCAGATGGAGGCACGGAAATGGATCAGTTCTCTGTTGTTGACTGTCAGTACTTAGTGATGCATGGGTCCGCCGTGTGGAAAATGTTTAATTTTAATATTATTTCTTAGTAGTTCTTGGTACACGTATTTGTGTCTCTGGACTGTCTGCCTCCTTAAGTGTCAGATGATAACCCCGCCCCACTAGCATGCTGCGGCCTAGCTGCTAACACGTACAACCGAGGAAGCTCAGAAGCACAGCTGCTCTTTTAGCGCAGGGCTTTACGTACACAAGCTACAACATGCTAACACTTTAGCCACTAAAAGTGACAGGCAGTGAGGCCATACAACGTACATTAGTTCTAACTACTGTGAAACGTCCAGGTTCATTTTTGGGATTTTGAGCCAAAGTACATTACTAAAATATCATTTAGACTTCAATGTCATCCTTAAACAACACAAACCTAGTTAGCATGTCGGCTAAAATTTAGAAGCCAGTGTTATTTTTTTTTAATGTGATTTCTTCAATGCTGTACACGTGTTGTCCTCTATAGAGTTGCTGTTGCACTGCATCCCATCTATATTGTATGGTGTTGTGTTGTGACAACTGATGTAGAGATAAACTGTGAGTCATCCGACCCCTCCTTTTTTTTAACCCTGTCAAGTTTAACCTTTCTAAGAAAAGAACATTTATGGAATTTTATCATTCAGCTGCGACACGACATCTGCCGCTCTTTCACTTCTCCAAGGACGTTGTTGTATGGCTGCAACTTCCTCTGGATATTTGACATCATTGCTGTACAAGTGCCCACGGCGTTTGACAGCGGGGGCCAGGTCAGGAGCAGATAGAAGGAGCGATCGAGTGAACTCAGATAAATGACATGTAAAAGGCTAAAATGCTTTTAGCCTTCTCTACGCCATCTATAGGGAAAACATGGGCATTGTAGGTATAGTATAAGTAAAGTATAATCACAATACAAACCAAT